ACAGGTGGGTGCAGCTGCACAGAAAGGACCAACACTGTGCCCGAGAGGCCACAGTTCATGGCATCAGAGCTGCACTTTGAACCCAAGTGTACTGATTCCAAGTCCAACCTTCCCTCCTTCCTCTCTCTCTTTCTAACCCAAAGATGTGTTTTTATTGATTTGAGAGAGATGGGGAGAGTGAGAGAGAAACATTAATCGGTTTCCTGCCACACGTACCCCCACGGGGAATTGAACCCACAGCATTTGGGCCTACGGGGTGATGTTCCAACCAACTGAGCCACCTGCCAGGGCCCAGGGTCTTCTCCATGGCATCATGGCCACCCCTCTCTGATCCTCATCGCTACGAGGACAGTTCAGAACACAGTCCCTTTCCGCTGAACACAGTTAGTGTGCACAGGGAGCTACCCCTCCTCCATCATTCCTGGGGCACCGCAGGCCCAAACAGTCGTGCCCTGTTTCTGGCGTGCCAGCCTTCCCCAGGCCCCCAGACTTCAGGCTGGGCTTGGGAGAACTCAGGCCGCCCGGGGCCATCGGGAGGGGGAGGGGCGGGTGCTCTTTGCCGGGCATCTGGCCCGCTGCCTGCAGAACCAGGCGAGAACTGCCCACGAGGGCTGGCTGGGGAGCTGGCCGGGGGCCGGGAACTCGTCTTTCCCTTTAAACAGACACAGGCAGTCTGTTGAGATTCTGGAAACATCTGACCTTTGCAGAGCATCTCAAGAGTTGTCAGGGAGGGCCAGAGGGAGGTCCCTCGCTCTCTGTAAGCGCTTTAACCCTTTCCACAGAGCCCTGAGCAAGAAAACAAAAAACGAGATCCGTTTCCAAGGAACTAGAAAGATTTGTTGGGCCTGTTTTCCTGCGGGTTGTCTGGGGAGGTAGGTCACACCTGGGGGCGCAGAAGAGACTTTTTAAAAAAAAATTTATTGAGTTTTAGACAAAGTAAGGGAGAGAGAGAGAGAGAAACATTGATTTGTTGTTCTACTTCTTTATGCATTCATTGGTTGACTCTTGGATGTGCCCTGACCGGGGATTGAACCCGTGACTTTGGTGTATTGGGACAATGCTCTAACCAACTGAGTTATTTGGCCAGCCCAGACATCTGAGACCTCTGGAGTCATTTTCACAGTTCCTGGTCTCAGGGGAGGAGCCCTGGGCAACGGGAAAGAGGGCCCAAAGGGAGGACTGGAGCTGAGAGTGGAACAAAGCAGGCAGCTTTGATTGACTACTCGCGATGCATTCCTTCATTCATCCTACAACTGTCTATAGGGCACCCACTAAGTGCCAGGCACTGGGTCAGCCTCTGGCGATGCAACGGCCAGGTAAACCCAGATAGATAACAGCCCCTGCCTTTGTGGACACTCACTCCTGGAGGCGCAGACCAATCCGATCGGCGCAGGGGCCACTATGAACATGGGATGGGGGGGCGGGGAGGGTTGGGGGCTGGGAAGCGCCAGCAGTGCAGAGAGGGCCCGGGGTGGGCGGGCTTCTTGTAGGAACGCTGGGGGAGATGTTCAGGCAGGGATGTCAGGCTCTGCTGATGGAAGAGAGCGCCCAGCACCTGCATCTGGAAGTTTAGGAAAATGCAGAGCCTCGCCCTGGCCCTGGGGTCCGCTGGAGCGTGGCCCTGTACACCACAAGGTTTGGGTTTGACCCCCAGTTAGGGCACGCACGGGAGGCAACCGATGGACGTTTCTCTCTCACATTGATATTTCTTTCTCTCTCCCCTACCCTCCTCCTTCTCTCTCTCTCAAATCTATAAACATATCCTCTAGTGAGGATGAAAAAAAATGCAGAGCCTTTGTCCCCACCCAGGCCTGGAGTGTCCAAAGCTGTGAGTTAACAGCCCGCCATGCCGTCTGTGTGCGTACGGAAGCGCAGGGGCTGCGCTAGGTGTTGTTGAACTAGGCGCAGCTTGGAAGCGGAGGAGAACCCCCGGGAAAGATCCATAGGGTGGCCAGGAGCTTGCCGCAGGGTGTGGATGGAAGTCAAGGGATATTCGTGTGTGTATAGAAAGAAACTTTTTTTTTTTTTTTTTTTTTTTTTACCTGGGAGAGAATTGAGCATGCTTCAAAGCTTTTAGGAAGAAATCCGAGGAGAAGGAGGGGGTAGGAGACAAAGTACAATGGAGCAGTAGACGGAGGAGGTGCAGGTCCCACCCTCTGCTGCAAACTGGAACCTCCCCAGGAGATTTCGTCCACGTGACAGAACTACAGAGACAGAGAAGGCCTGAGCGGGGGGCGTGTGAGAACCATAGGGCGCCAATTCTGTATCTCAATTGCGGCGGTGGTTACCCAAGCCTATTCATGGGATTGAATAGTATACAACTACACAACCCACACACACACACAAATAAGGGCATAGAAAAACGGGTGAAACGGAATGATAAGGTCTGCAGTCTACTTGACAGTATTATTATACCCCTGCCAATTCCTTGGCATTGCCACTGAACTACAGTTCTATAATGTCACCATTTGGGGAAGCTGGGCAAAGTGTTCACGGGACACTGTGCTGTTTTATAACTTTCTGTGGGCTGGTAGTTGTTTCAAAATAAAAAGGTAAAGAAAAGCACATGGATACACTCATCCAATGCACCTTTTGCGGAATGCAGTGCAGCGGAACAAAAGCATGTATATTAAACACCTTGGAATGGCCGCCTGTGGGGGAGGAGAGCCGGAAAGGACAAAAGGGAATAAACAGCTCCATTCGTCAAGGGACCAGGCACAGACCCATGGTTACAGCGCTGTGAACTGACAGGGTAATTAAGTCTAGCCTCCCTGCACCTGAGGTCCACAGCCAGGGGAGGGGGTAGCGGGGAGGGGGATCAATAACATTACAGATAAGACCTTTTCTCAATACAGTAAAGCTTTTCCTTTTATTCAATAGGAGGCTAGAAGAAGGTTGGAGGAGGAGGAGAGGCAGGAAAAGGGTCAGGGAGAAGGGATGCAGGAGGGCGGAGGGAGAAGAAGGAAGAAAGCATGTTGGGGAGGGAAAGAGGGGGTAGAGGGTTATGGACAGTGGTCTTGGATCGGTCCGGAGGCGGAACGGGTCTTGCTTGCCTCAGCCCCTGTAGCTCCCATGCCCTGGATTCCAGGAGCTTCTCAGAGCAGCCTGTGCGTGAAAGGACAGGATGTGCTCTGTGTGGGAACTGGAAGTGCTGCATCTTAGCCTAGTCTCCTGCCTTCATTGTTTGCGAGGCAGAGCCAATGAAACGGTTGCACGATTGTTCCAGTCACTGCAGAAGTCGCAGGGAGGGACTTCAGCTCAGAAACGCAGAGTCTTGCAACAAACTGGAAGCTTCTGGAGAGGAAGGAAGAATACTGGGAACAAAAGGAAATAATTGAGGAAGTGCTTAGAGGCTTATTGATAAGGATGTTCCTCTGGGCGTTACTTACCAGAACGAACAATTAGCGACAAGTTAAGGACCTAAGAGTAGAGACTGGACTGAAAATGTATGATACATAGTATGCTAGAATACATCTGAAATGAAGGACTGTGAGAAGTTTTAATGTTACGGAGAAATGTCTAATATATTGCTGTTCTAGGGAAAGTTTACAATTATGCACAAAATAATTTCTTAAAATTTATTGATTGCTTTGAGAGAGAGAGAAACATCAATTTTTTGTTCCATTTATTGATGAATCATGCATGGGTTGATTCTTGTATGTGCCCTGACCTGGGATTGAACCTGCAACTTTGGCATATGAGGATGACGCTCTAACCAACTGAGCTACCAGCCCAGGGCCCTGAAATAATTTTCCTAAAAGATACGTAACTACATAGAAAGAGACAGGGGGATAGTCACTAAAATATTGACATCCTTAACCTGAAGATGTGGGTACTTTACATATAAATTTTATCTCAGAAAACAGTTTTAGACAATATTAACACTGGTGGTCTCCAGGTAGAGTGAAAGTATGGGCGATTTTGAAAAAAATTATTTTTCTCTTTTCCAACCTTTTTGTAGTAAAAATGTGTTCGCTTTGGCAGAGAGACAACATCGCCAATTGTTTCTTTTTCTGCGGGAGCACTGTCTGGGGTGTGTGGTCACCCCTCGCCCAGCCCTGGGCGATGCTGGCCTGGGGCCTCGGGTCTCTCCAGCCCCTGACCAGCCAGCTGGGGCCAGCTCAGCCGCATACACGCCCAGAACTCGTTGTTTCAGGAACCGCCCTGAGAGCTGAGAGCGGCTCTGGCCTTCCTGGAGATAGCAGAGCCAGCTCACAAGCCCCGGGGAGCGCCGAGCCAAGGTCACTTGATACGTGCTAGATATTTATAACCGTATCTCACCCCTCCCGCGAAGATCTCCTCGCTTCGTTTCACTGTGTTACCGCGTTTCACTGTGTTACCGCGTGCGCGCGGCCCACCCGGGCGGGCGGAGTCGCGGGTGGTTTCGTGCGGCGGCTCTGCGCCGCTTTCGCCCTCGCCCTCCTCCTCCTCCGTAAACAGGTCTGTCATTATAGAGCGCTGACCAGGTGCCAGGTGTGTGCCTACAGAATTGCGCTGCTCACCCTGTGCGGTCCCGGCTCTCCTGATGGCCACTTTGCAAATGGAGAACTGCAGGCTCAGAGAGGTTAAGGGACCCGCCCTAAGTAACACAACCAGACAGGTGGTAGGAGCTCTGGGGTTCCAACCTGGGCCCGTCGGAGTCCAGCTAGTGACACTGTCCCCTGGCCCTGCAGCTCCCGTGGACTACGGGGCCTGCCCAGCTGTGGTGGAGGCAGGCTCTGGCGGCGGGGGGGCGGGGGGCGCGGGGGAAGGGCGGATAGCAGCGCCCAGAGTGGCCTTCAACGCCCAGCGGGTGGTAGCTGGGGGGGCCTGCTGGGCGCCTCCCGGCAATTCCAGTAAACAAGGGCGAGGCGGGGCGGGGCTTAGCAGCAGACCCGCATTTCCGGGGACACTGCAGCCAACGGAGGGTGTTCGTGGCGAAACTCCAAATCCCCAGGGAAGGCGTTGGGTTGGCCTGGCAGCTGGGAGGAGCTGGGGACACTGCAAGAAGTGGGGGTGCGCTGCAGAGGTGACCCCGCCGGGGACGGTGGTCGCGCGCGCCAGCGCAGGTAGGCGCAGGGGACAAGGTGGGCGGGAGCTGAGCCTTGGGAGTGGGCGGACCAGGGTGAGGCGGCTGGGAATGCTACCGCCCCCACTTCCTGCCGGGCGGTCTCCAAGAGGACGCCACCTGCAAGTTCTGATGGGCACCGGTGCCTGCCACTCGGGGAGCCTGCTGCCTCCGCCGCGCGGGAGGCTGGGCCCTTGTTCCCCTGGCACCGGGCCTCTGCGCTCAGTCCTTTCAGCACGTCCTACATCCCCGATTCCCACACCTGAAACCGAAAGGCAGGAGCCCTGGCTCTGGAGGGAAATACTTCGCAATTTGGGAAAGTCCGGGGCCCTTTCTCAGAATCATCATGGGAATGACTCTTGAGTTAGGTGTTTTGTCTTGGTTGCTTCTCTTTGAGTGACAGGTGGATTTATGGGTGAGGAGAGAATGGAAGTTAGGGTCCTGAGAATGAGGGAGCTCTAGTGGCCTCCCTGGAGCAGGTGTGGTCTGGCAAAAGGACCCAGGTGCCCTGGGTCACCTGGGGAAGGTCATTAACCTCTAGTCACATTGCATCACCTGTAATGTATGTACCTTGACTTACAAATCATGGGATTCTTGTAAAGGTGGAATGCCCTAAGGACAGGGAAACGCACAATTTTTTTTAAGGTGTTTTTTCCTTCCCATGGATGCTGTAGGACTGGAAGACATGGGGAAAATCCATCTGGTCCTACCCCTCGTTTTCATGGCAGAAACTGGACCCAGAGGTTAAATGACTTCCCAAGATGACACAGGGAGATGGGACCGTCAGGATTTGAACCCCATCCCCTGACTCCCAGGCCAGGGATGTTTCCTCTGATGATGATTCTTAGTGAAACTCAGGAACATTGGTGATATGCCTCCTTGGAAGCTGGGGTTCAAGCTCTGGGAGGCTAGAGGACAGGGGATCTGAAGCCGGCAAGGGCAATAAAGGTGAGGGAAGGAGGCTGGAGCCTCGGGAAGAACCTCAGAAAAGGCCCCTAGCCGGGGTGCCGACCATGCTGTGCCCCTGGGGGCTTACTTTCCCCTCGTATCTAGGGGATGGCTCTAAATAACGCCCCCAGAGCCAAGCCTCCCTGGCTCTGCACGTATAGTCTCCTCTGAAGGCAAACCATCTGTAGAGGCTGCAGGAACAAGAAACCCTTCGGCGGCCCCAAAGCAGGGAAGTGGGACTTCCCTCATCACGCATCAGTGAGGTGTCTTTCCCTTTGTAAAGGGTCAGAGGAAGGTGGGTGAAGAGGTCCGGGGAAGGGACCCTGCAGTGAATCATTCGGCGATGATGGGAGCCGGCCAGCTCCGGCAGAAAACTCGTGTACTCACTTCGTAAACATTCGCTGGGGGCCTGGCTCTTGGCAGGCGCTGTGCGGGGGGCTGGGGATGAAAATCTGGTGGAGGCTGGCCCGGTGCCGGCGCCGGGAGCCTGTGGAGCCAGTGTGACTCTAGCCTGCGGAGCCTGGAGCAGGCCTGTGGCTGGGCCAGGGCGTCCCTGGCCCCCACCTGTGCTGGAGACAGGAGGGAGGGAGTGTGTCCCAAGGGAGGTGGTCAGGATGCGTTTTCTCTGGAGAAAGGAGCCTCAGGGATTCCTATGAAGCAGAAGCTCTGTGAAGGCAGCAAGTGCAGGAGAAATACTTGCGTGAATCAAAAAGGGAGGGAAGGAAGGGAAGAGGCAGGGAGGAACGTAACAGCAGCTGTGTTATCAGGAAGAGAGCGGCTATACCTGGAGCTACAGGCAGAGCATCTCTACGTGGGTTCTGGTCCCAGCCCTGACGTAGCACCTGTGTAAGCTGGACGAGTCCCTGAAGCTCTGTGGGCGCCAGCGTCTCACCTATGAAAGTGGGAATAGAATCATTCCTGTCTCACTCTGTCGTGAGAATCACATCAATGGTGGGATGTAGAAAGCTCAGCTCAGAGCCTCACATAATGTGCTCCATAAACGTCACCCTGTAAATGTCAACTGGGCTTTCGGTGGAAGAGTATGTCAAATAATTCATGTCAAGGTTCTAAAACTATTCCAAAAGGGGGAATATATATTTTTTTCCTGATAAAGGCTAATTTTGAAAGTGCCCTGTATCTGCAGAAACCCTTAAATAAATGGGTTTTTTCACTGTTTTTGGCGGGGGGCAGCGGGGTGCGGGACAGGGATGGTTTTTGAAATCAGGTGAAAGCTCTGATCCCTCTCACAGACCGGCATGTCATTCTTGGGGTTCCATTCACAGCTCCCTGAAGCCCAGCCTTGGGGTTCAGGGCTCCCTGCTCTGCCGGACTGCTCACAGGCTGCGATGAAGAAACTGAGGCAGCAGTCATGGGAGAAGGGTCTGGAAGGGGCAAGGTGGGAACGCTCCCTTTCAGGGGGTTGTGGGGTCCTTGTGGAAACCACTAGGTGGAGGGGCTGAAGATAAGCCTCTGTCTGCGTCTGGGTGGGCCAGGCCCCAAGTCCAGGCCCTCAGAGCCCTGTCCTCCGCTGGGGCCAAGCCGGGTCTGCTTAGTGCCTCACGGTGACCCCCAGCCCAGCGCTCACTTGCAGCGCAGAAGTCATGCCTCCAAGAGTCCTGAGCAGCCCTGGGCTCTGGTGGCTCGTCTGCGAGATCCTTGCCAAAGCCTGGCTTGGGGCCACCCTCACTCCAGCTTTCTGCAAGGGATGCCATTGCTTTAGGGCGGCAGGTGGGCACATCGCCACACGCAGTGGCAAAGCAGGTTGCTAGTGCGGCTTTTGGAGCGGCAGATCAATGGAACCTCTACCTGTGCCTCCCCCCACAACGCTGCCCGGTCACCTGTCTCAGCCCGCTGTGTGCGGGCAGTGTGGCAACGCAGAGCAAGGCTCTGTCTGGGGCCCGGCAGCGGTCAGGAGGCCTGAGGTGACTGGGAAGCTGCAGGGGTCAGAGAGCCGTTCCCCCAGGGGGGCGAGGAGCTGAGGGGAGAACCCTGGGACTCTGGAAAGGAAGGCAGAGGAAGGCCCTGCCTGGGGCCTTCTTTCCTCCTCGCGGCAATGGCCAGGGGCCTGGGGCTCAGAGAGGGGTTTAGGGAGGAAGAACTTGGTGGGAAAACGGGGACACAGATCCCTGATTTCTTGGGACCTTAGGACCGGAGGGGCCTCCGGTCTGATGAGCCATACTGGAAGCCCGAGCTCCCTCCTCGTCCCTTCCACTGTTCGCTCCCCACCCCCACCCAGCGAGAACATCCACCTCCCCACTGCGAGTGGCCGTCGTGGTTTCAGGGGAAAGGGCGTCACCACACAGTCGTGCCCCTTCAGGCTGGCAGGGTGCCAGGCGTCACCCAGGCCAGTTCCCCGGGCTCCCGCGGCCCCCAGGTGAGCGGGCTTGAGGGCACAGGCAGACAGCCGCCCCTGAGCTTGTGTGGGGAGCAGGGGAGTGACAGGAGCAGCTGCGTGTTCTGCCCTGCCAGGGCAAGGACAGGTTGAGCCCTGCTGGTTGCACCACAGCCCCCTGTGGCGGGTGATCCCCTCCCAGGGAGTGGCCGGCTCAGGCCCCGACAGGCCCACAGCAGGCGCACCCCAGGCCTGGGCCCGGGCCAGGCGGGCTGGTTCATTCTCCCAGCGAGAGTTGCAGCCTCAGCGCTTGGTTTGAGGGAGGCAGCTGAACCCGAGGGAGAGCCCAGAGGGGCCTCAGAGTTGGGAGTCTAAGTTACGGAGGCAGAGGCAACTCAGAGACGTGAGGGGAATCGGTCACAAACACGAGCACGGCTTTGTCCCCAGAGCACCTGCCATATGCCAGTCCCCGCATGTGCCCGCGTATCGGCTCCCCTGACCGCCGTGGAGTCTGTCCGTTTCCCTGTCACAGACAAGGAAGCTGCGGTCCAGACAGGTGGTGTGGCTTGCTCCCAAAGCGCAGGTGGGGCTGAGTTTCTCCTCCGGCACTTAGCAGTGCAGGAGGCACAAGGGACTGGTGGAGGGGACTGGGGTTTGGGGGACAGGGACGAGGCCGTTTGCACTTGTTGCCAGAGCTGGTGAGCGGCCGCGTGCGCGGCTTGAGGCCGTCCCGGTGCTGGCCTGCGAGTGCCCTCTGCAGTAGAGGGCACTGCCCTGAGGAAGCTCCCTGCCACCAGGCTCTGGAAGTCATTGGCTCATTTAAAAGCACACACAGGGCGTGCCAGCTGCTGTCGCTTCCTCAGCAACATGTACTGATGCTTCAGCTGAGCTGCTGCCCAGCCCTGGGGAGGAAACACCAGTGCGGTGCCTGGCCAGGGCGGGGCGAGGAGCTGCAGCTGCATGTTGGCATAGGAGGCTCAGGGCTCCAGGGGGACCGTGGCCGGGGGCCAAGGCCTGGGGAGCTGGGCCGGGGCCAGTGAACGTCTGCAAGGCCTGCCGGGCAGCCTGCCAGCCAGAACCCAGGAACAAGGAGGAGGAGGAGGAGGAGGAGGAGGAGGAGGAGGAGGAGGAGGAGGAGGAGGAAGAGGAGGAGGAGGACTGCTACCTCAGGAGGGGCGCCTGGGACCTTCGGGTTCAAGCTCCACTGGGCTTGGCAGGAAGCCCCTCCCCCACGGCCAGGAAACAAAGCAGAGACTCCCAGGGTAGAACTGTGGGTGCTGCAGAGCCAGGAGCCCCCAGTGGGAATGGGAACAGGCCGGCCTGGCCGGGGGCTGCCCGGCCAGGGCCTTCTGTGGCCAAGCATGTGGCCAGCCTGCATCTGGACAGAGGCTGAACTTATAGATGATTAGTGAGTATTGATCGCTGGCAAGGCTCACTACGGCCTGGACTGACCATCCCACTGCCAGGCCTTGCCCAGTGCCCGGGCCATTGCCTTTTCCTTTGTGCTGAGCTGGTCAGAGAGGCAGCGGATGCAGGTGCTCGTTGGCCTGCATTTAGAACTGTGCTCCCCTTTCATTTTCTCTTTCTCTAGTAGCCTTTCTTATGTCTCTTCCTTCTCTCCCTTTCCTATGGCTCTTCTCATTTTTATTCTTCTACCTGATCCCACAGGTGAGGTGTTTTTTTGTTTTTTTGTTTTTAACTGTTTGGCTTCTTGGTATTTTTTCCCCCCATGATAACAGGTAGAAGGTATAAACTTACACACAGGACAATGCACACATCTGAAGTGTATAGCTTGAAACATTTTAACATTTGTACACGCTTGGGAAACCAGCACCCAGACCAAGGTATAGAATGTTTTCTTGTCCGTCTCCTAGTCTGGCATCTCCCACCATAGACTAGTTCTCTTTGGCCTCTGTGTGTGTATTCCTAGGCACCTTGGATCCCTCATTCTTGCATTTTTGTCCGTGTGTGTGTGTGCGCGTGCGCGTGCCCGCCCGAGCCTGAGCGAGCGGCACGAGGGTGAGGGTGGGGAGGACGGCAAGGCCGGGGCGCGTGGAAGGCGGACGAGGGCTGGGCTGGACGATGCCTGCATCTCGTCGTCTGCGGGGCACGGAGGAAACGCAGAGTTTCTTTTTCTCCATCTCCTCTCATCTTCCCTTTCCCAGCCGCCCCCTTTGCTCTTTTTAAGTGCGGATGTTCTGGCCGAGAAAGACGTGCCCGTGTCCAAGAGCGGCAAAGGGGAACAGGAGACACGGCGTTGGCCTGGGAACCACTCTGTAACCCACAGGAAGTCAGCTCAAATGAGGGCTTTTTTTTTCTTTTTCATTCCTGTCAGCCATCCTCCTGTTTCGTCCAGCCCGGCGAGAACAAATTGGCACAGAAATGGACGACAGCGGAGCCCACGAGGGCTGAGGCTGCCATGCAGGGTACGTGGAGGGCACCCCTCCCGGCCAGCAGCTGGGTCCCTCATTCTCTCAGCCCCGCGGAGGTCCTACTGAAGCACCGAGCTTGGCAGTGGGGATTCCAGAGACGGAAGTCCTGCCGCTGTCCTTGGGGGGCTTGTCACCCACTTGGCATAAGACATACTTAAAGCATCTGAGCAGCCGTGAGCGGGATATAATTAACCACCAGCGAGGCCGCATCACCCTCTGCCTCTGCCCCTCAGGGGTGAGCAGAGCAGATACACACAGGGCAGAGCAGCATGGCTGTCCTTTTACGAGCTACCTGCTGTGGAGGTTCGGGCACTAGCCCTTGTCCTTCATCCGGCCCTGTGCTAGGTGACAGCTTGAAGCAGAAGATAGAGGAAGTGCTGCAGCCATTCCCTGATTTCAACAAGATCTCCTGCAACTTCATAGAGTCAATGGAGAACGCAGAGAAGTGGGGGCTGAATAGCGCAGCGGGGCGGACGCCTAGCTAGCTGCTCTCCCGGCAGAGGATGTTGATCACTTAAAAAATTTTTTTCACGTGCTGATTTGAGAGAGAGAGAAAGGAAATGGGGGCGGGGGGGCGTTAGAGAATGAGAATGAGAAGCACTGATTCGTTTTTCCACGCATCTGCGCGTTCCTTGGTTGATTCCCACGTGTGCCTTGACGCCCTGACGCGGGATCAAACACACAACCCTGGCCTGTGGGGACGCTGTTCTAACCAACTCAGCTACCTGGCCGGGGTGGATGTGGGTCACTTTTAAGCTTGATGTAAGTCTCTCTGTTTTTGACCCTGTTTCACCCAATTCCTCCCTCCCCCACCCCCAGATTTACAAAATACCCATAGGTTTTCTGTACTGACCGATCGTTAAAGCCTTGCCACAGACGCACTCACACTCCTTCTAATACACACACATGCACACGCGCGCACACGTTTTTGCTGAATCATTTGAAAGAGAGTTGCCGACATCATGACACTTCACCTCTGAAAGCCTCTGCAGGGCGTGCGAAAATTTGCCCAATTGCTCGGCAGCTTTTCTTCCCTGGGGTTCACGGAAGGTTCACATGTTGCATTTGATTATCAGCTCCTTCTATTAGTTTCTTAACCTTCAATAGTCCCCTGGCTTTTCTGCCTTTCATCAGAGGGAGCTTTCGGAGTGTGCAGGCCAGTTGTCTGGGGAACACTGGGGGCCTCCGGCTGTGTCCTCACTGTTCGATCTGGTTCCGCACCTTTGGCAAGGAAGCAGCAAGGGTTGACTGTGATGTGTATTTGTTACTGCGTCACATCAGGATGTAAGTGATGTAAGAAGTCCCATTACTAGTGATGCTCCTTTCAACTGCTGGTGACAGCCAGAGCCACCTCAGGGATGCGTTTTCTCTTTGGTAATTACCAAGTCGCCTGTGGGACAGACTTGGAGACCGTGTGCATGCGTGGTTCCCTGACCACCTTCCACCCACTGGTTTAGCGTCCAATGGTGGTTCTCGCTGGAATCTAGATTTTCCAAGCCTGTCACTTCTTCTGCATTTATCAGCTAGCATTCTTCTGTACCAGAAAGCTTCCTTTCTGTCGCTTCTCTGTTTCTCTGAATGTCACTGTGGATTGATGGGTTGTTTTTATTTCATGCGTTAGAATCTGCTCTTTCATTGTTGATGCTCAGCTTGCCCCAAGTTTAGTCACTGGGCTGGCCCTCTGTCCTTTTGCCGTGACCCCATTAGTCTTTAACCACTTCCTTGCATTCTGGCCCAAGGACACGTTCCAGGCTCGCCTTTTACTTTCATTTCCCCAGAGTCTCGGCACCTTTTATTGGAGAGTGATAGTTAAAACCGAGTGATAGGTGTGCTCACCCAGTATCTTATCCATGACTTGACTAAAGGCATTAAGAATGATTGTCAAGTTTACAGATAACTCAAAGCTGGGAGGGGAAGCAAAATGTATGTTGGTATCAACATTCAGAAGAAGATTGGTTCTGGTTCAGAATAAGAGGGAGTCTGAACCAGAACCAATAGATTTCAAAGAGGTCAGTAGGAAGTGCTGTACTTCAGTCGAAAATGATAATTGCATAATTTCAGGTTCCACGGAACTCTTTTTGTTTTAGAGATTTTTATTCACTTATTTTTAAAGAGGAGGAAAGGGAGGGAGAAAGAAAGGGAGAGAAACATTCATGCGAGAGAAATATCGATTGGCAGCCTCTCGCACATGCCCTGATCAGGACAGGATCCACCACCCAGGCATGTTCTCTGACTGGGATTTGAACTGGTGACCTTTCTCTTTGCAGAACGATGCCTAACCCACTGAGCCACACCAGTCAGGGCAATGGGGGAACTCTTCATTGAACCATAGCTGATACTAAAAAACAGCTCAGGCTGTTGGTTGACAGGAGCCAGTAGCATTCCATGATCCCTAGGTTGCGTCCGGCCATCGATTCTTCCCTTCAGCCAATACTTCTTGAGGGCCTACCGCACACCAGACGGTGTTCCAGGGCCCTGGGATGACTAAGGAGCAGAGAAGCAGAAATCCCGGCCCTCCTCTGTCAACATTTCGGGCACAGAGGAGCCGGTGGGGAGTTCAGACAATAAAACCCATGACGAATAAGCAAATCCAATATTGTTAGAAAGTGATGAATGCTTTAGGAAAAAAAAATCTCAGGGTAAGGGGAATACTGGGGGAGGTACGGATTCTTCAGGAAGGCTATCTCTGAGCAAATAGTTGGAGGAAGCAAGGGACCTGGCCTTGTGGCTATCAGGGAGGAAGGCCCCGGGAGGCGGGAGTAGCCAGGGCAAAGGTCCCAGCACAGCACTTGTGAGTAATCCCGGGGGAGGGTGCGCGGGAAGGGCAGCGGTCACCCATGAAGACTATGCGGGCCTTGCAGTCTCCTGCTGAGGTCTTTGGCTCTTCGGCTCTTCCACTAACGGAGCCCGGGAACCAATGGAGGCGCCTGGGCAGAGGAGCCCCGTGACCTGGCTGGCTCTGAGTCACATGGGCTGTGCACTTGCGTACAAATTTCAGGGCAGCAGGGAGACCTCGCCAGAACCACGAGGAAGAAGGTGATGGCGAGGGTAGTCAGCTTACGGATTTGCTAGTGGGTTGGATGTGGGGAGTGAGAGGAAAAGCAAGGAGTAGGGTTTTAACCCGAACTGCTTCCCGGTGGACTTGCGACTGAGTGAGATGCCGAAGAGGTTTATGCAGAAGGGAGAGGCCGGGAGCTCGGTTTGGGACAGGCTGGACGCCTGGCAGACCAGGCAGCTGGTGGAAATGTTGAGGCCATTTGGAGCTCAGGGCGGAGGTCCGGACTGCAGAGAGAAGCGTGGGCATCCTTGGCTGAAAACGGATCGGCAGTGCTGACGAAGGTGCCACCCAAGGCCTCGGCAAGGCGAGAGCCACGGTGCTTTGGTGCTGCCCCCATCCCACGTGCGGTTCTGTGTCCGGTGCTGGGAGCCCCTCTACGTTTTTCTGTTTCCCTTTTTTCTCGGGAGCCCCTTTAAAATGGGCGCTGCCAGCCTCGCCCTTGCCCACAGACAGGTGTCAGGATGGTGCAGGGGCACGAGTCCTGGAACTCAAGGAAGCTGGGCTGCCAGAGAGGAGCCGTGGGGCCGCAGGAGTGCGGTGCCCACCCTGGAGAGGTTGCCGCTGGCCCCAGGGGGAGGGGCGAGAGCCCAGGACAGAAGGCGTTGGCTGGGAGGAAGCTGGTTTTGGCTGGGGGTGAGGAGGACTTTCCCAGGACCGCGGCTCATTCCTGGAGCACCCGTTCCCTCTGCCATGGAAATGACCAGTGAGGTTCTGAAACTCCTTCAGCCCCGACCTGCAGGAAGAACGGCATTTTGCTGCGGTCCACTCTGCACTTAGAAAAAGTTGGGGCGCGTTTCCCATCACTTACGTCCCACTGTTTCCTTTTTGGGTTCTGCTAAGGGAGCCATGCAGTTGTTTTCAGGACCTACTAAGGGGTGCAGATTGCAGTTTGAAGCCCCTGGTGTCAGCAGGACCGAGCTCCATCCTTGGGGATGTGAGGGGTCCAGGGTTTAGGGGGTGGCTGGGTGGGCTGTGCCTCCTCTGAGTGGGGGCCTCTGGGCTGCCTCCGCCCTGCCCCGCCCCGCACCCCCCCCACCCCCCGCCTCCCGCCTTAGGGAGAACGGTGCTGTCTCCCGCCTGGCCACGCGCAGGCTGTGGAGAAGGTCTTGCCTCCCTGGCTGTATAGGAAATCCTATTATTCCACGTAAGCTAATCTTGCCCTGCTCCCCCCGCCCGAGGTTTGCCTTCCCTACACAGACTTCAAAGCGCAGACGCGCCGCAGGGCAGCGGACTAAGTGGTGGGCCTGCAGGGAACACAACCAGGACCCAAGGTGGGCTGCCCAGTGCAGACATTACACTCAGGAGCCACTCGCCCTGGCGTCCGCTGGAGCTTGGCAGAGCTCATGTGGTCACGGCCAAGTGGGTGCCTGGAGCATTAGCTGGGGAGGCGGGGATGAAGGGCCAGGACCCAGGCCAAACCCTCACCAGGAGGGGCACAGTGTAGAGCCCACAACGTTTCCCCAAACCTCCGGTGGCGGCAGCTCGCAGAGGGTCGCAGAGCGACCGGAAGGGGGCTAAGGAGGCGGTGGGAGGGTCTGAAGGTGGGGGCGGGGATCTAGCGCACGGCTTTCCTCTGCTCCCCGCGCCCCAGCCGCCTCAAGGGTCCCCCTGACTTGGTCTCCCGGGGCTCGTACCCATCTGGTCCCCCTCGTGCTTGCAGCGAGGAGGAAGGGGTAAAGAGAGGGCAGGGCAGGGATCTGGGAGAGGCTCGACGCTCGTGCTCGCCCACTTCCTTCTCCTTCGGCGCCGCCCTCCCCGCCAAGCCGCCAAGCTGCCGGCCAGCCTCTGCCGAGCTGGGTCGGCGGGACGGAGCTGCGTTGCGGGGGGCCGAGGGGGCGCGTTCGCGGCGGCCACGTGACCCATCCCCCAACCCCCAGGTCTGTGAGTGCAAGGGAGCCACCTGAGCCGGAGCCCGCAGGACGCCGTCGCTGTCCGAGCCCCGCGCTCCGCGATGGCCCCGGGGACCCAGTCGCTGCTGCTGTCGCTGCTGCTGCTGCTGCTGCTGCCGCCGCCGCCGGGCACTCGGGCGCTCGTCCCCCGGATCAGCCTGCCGCTGGGTGAGTGCGGAGCGACCCCGCGGGGGTGCAGGCCGGGGGAGGGGAGGCGGCCCCAAGGGCCTCGTGCGGAGGTCGCCGTGACAAAGGAGGCAGGGGGCAGTTGGAGGCGAGGGGCTCCCTGGGACCCCTCCTCCTTTCAAAGCGGGCACCGGGCGAGAGAGAGAGAGAGAGAGCGAGAGAGAGAGAGCGAGAGCGAGAGAGAGCGAACGAGAGCGAGCGAGAGAGAGCGAGCGCGCGGAGCCGCGGGCCCTTTTCTTCCATTCTTTTAATGCTGGAGGAAGGGGTCCTCGTCTGCTCTGTCGCCGCTTGTAGGGCACCCTGTCGGTGGTGGCGGCCCCCGCCTCACCGCCCCTCCCCAGAACCCCCGCCCCCACAAGATCTGCCTGCGCATCTGCTTGTCTTTGATGCTGACCAGAGCCAGGCTCGGTGCCGCCCCCCAGGGCAGCGCGGGTGGAGGGGCCGTGCTCGCCGCAGTGAAGCGCCGGGGTTTGGTGTGCCAGCAAGTCGCCAAAGGGCTCGGGAGCCGCGGCAGGACGGCGCCCCGTCCTCCACCCCAGTGGACACGCTGGGATCCCCCCAGAGCCTGGGAGCGACCAAACTAGGGCTGGGGACAGTCTGGGCGCTGAAATTCTGCGGCTCTGGAAGCCAGGATGGTCCTCGAGTGACCCAGGAGGACCATCCTCATGAGCCAGGTCTCCCGAGCTCATGTCTGTTTGTGTGGACCCCACAGACCTCTGCTCTCCCCTCTCCTTACTCCCCTTTCACCTGGTTGCTTTTCCAATTCCTCTTTGGAATCAGAGGGACCTGGAGTTTGAGCCCATTTCTGCTACTGGGCAAGTCCGTCCGTTCTCCCTGAGCCGCAGTTGGTTCCTCCTGAACATGGGCACAGTGACAGGTCCCAGGGATAGGCAGGACGGTCTTGGAGAGCTCATGGAACTAGGTGTGTTATGTGGGCCTGGTGGCCTTGGGTGCCCAGTGCATGTGGTTTCTCCAAGCCCTTTCATGTGCTGGTGGCCCCACTGTGTGAATCAGAAAAAGGACCTACAACGTAGAGGTTCCAGGCTGAAACTGTACCAGACTTCCTTCTCTTAGCAGAGGAAAGCCGTGCGCTAGATCCCCTCCCTGAAAAGCATTCTATTTTACAAAGGGAACGAGGAACCGAATCAGCACGTACATTAACTTTGTGGCCCTGAGTAACCCCATCTAAAACATGGCCCAATAGTGCTGAGAAGGTGTCCTGGCTCAAGTCCTACCCGAGCTACGAGGAACCATGTGACCTTGAGCAAGCTGCCTGTCCTCTCTGGGCCTTGATGTCCTCATCTGTAGAACAGAGGTGCTGGGAGGGCCTGCCTTGAGGTTGTGAGGAGTAAATCCAGTTTATGCTTGAAGAGTCCTTGGGATGGGGCTTGGTCCATAGAAACCACTCAGGAAGGGTTAGCTGTCACCCTTGCTGAGCACAGGCTTCAGGGCAGGGGTGACTTTGCCTGGGGAGCGGCGGTGCTGATGTGTAGCTTTGACCACAGTCCCTTGGGTGCTCCGGCTCGTAAGAGGGTAAACAGGTGTATCCAGACCCAGGCTGGCTGCTTTGCTATTTTTCTGGTGTGACCACCACTGCCCTTTGCCCTCAAACCCTCTCAGCTTTGACAGCAAGTGACATGAGGTGGGGAACAAATGCTCAGAGGAATTCCATGCATGGCCCCGGGAAAGCTGGGTTACCGCAAGGGGCACGTCACTTGTTGGAACTGGAGGGAACCGCTCTTTGGGTGACTAGATTGGGGAGCCGTGAGGAGGAACCGAGAGGACCTGCTTTCTGAGGGCGCCTAGAATACTTCATGTTTCCACCCACACAGCCCCAAGAGGTGGCCCACTTCCTCAAATTTGTGCCCACACGCCTGCCCCCGCCACACGCCACTTGATGCTATAGGCAGGGGTTCTGTGTTGTTCCAAAATTCACGTGTTGAAGCCCTCACCCCCAGAGGACTTGGGTTCCCCTGTGAGGACCCCCTGAGATGACACGTTTTGTGCACGACGGGGCGAGGGGAGGCGGGATACGCAGTCCATACTCGGCTCTCCCAGCTGTGGGGTCTTGGAGGAAAGAGATCCTCCACTGTTCCCTTTCTTGAGGCTGGGTCTGCCTGGAGGGGACCTCCTTCCCTAGTCCCACCGAAGCCCTGGTATATAGCTCAGCAGCACCTTGGCCGCTGGGCTTGTGCACTGAGCACCAGCCCACACTTTGCTGAGCTGCCCCCCCCCCCGCCCCCACCAGAGTGCCTGCCGCGCCTTCCCCAGCCCTGGATTCCCCCTGCCCTTTTGTCTACGTGCTTGCGCTTCTCCTGGGCTGGGTGCCCCCGAGGGGAATATCCCAGTGACTGAGCAGGCTCACCTTCCCTGCTTGGCCTGAGGCAGTTTCCTGCCTCCTCCCTGGGGGCTTGTTAGATGTTCCTGGCAGCTTGCCCATCCGGGCAGGCCCATGGTGACTATGGGGTGCTGGGCCCCGGGGCCCCTCCCTCACAGAACAGGGAGAGAGGCATGGAGCTAGAGCCCACACCCCCTTCCCTGCCGCCTGACCTCCCCTAGTGACTCCTTGCCTGAGCCCCTCAAGGGCCTGGGTGCCTACAGACAAACCCCTGGAAGGGGAGCATCCTTCCTGTCGAACCCTCATGACCATCCACTGGATTTCTGGGGCCACCAGGAGGGGGTGCCCCACTTGTGGCCAGGCTTGCGGAGAGCAAGCAGAGGGCTGAAGAGGAAGTGGCTTGGATCTGAAAGATGCTCTTCAAAGCCATGCGTGAGATTCAGGGTCTGTTGCATTGGAAGCCGGGTGACCTGGGGTTCCAGGCCCGAGGGGTCCGCCGTGGCGGGAGCAGGGGGTGCTGCGTGGCGACGGCCGCCCGGGGGGTTAAGGCAGTGAGCGGTGGCCGTGTGGGAAAAAACAAAAACCTGCTCCTCTGACTCCTGGAAGTGTTGTTGGGTCCCCTTATTTGGGCAATTAAAAGGAGTTCTTAGTTTCCCTCTGCCCCGAAGTGCCTGCCTGGGAAGCTCTGGACACAGTGTTTCCAAACCAGAGTGGAAATAAATCCGCAGGCCTGGACCCTGCAGCCAACAAAACCCCATTCAGCCGGGAGAACAGGGCCCAGGCCCGGATCAGCTGCTTGTCCCCTGACCCCAGGGCGGACACCCAGGGTCACGGCGGCTCTGAGAAGCCCCTGATACAGGCCGCCTTTTTTTTTTTTTTTTTAAATTCCTCATCCAAGAGTATGTTTATTGAATTTAGAGAGAGAGGAAATGAGAGACAGAGAGAGAAACATCGATGTGAGAGGGAGAGACATCAATCAGTTGCCTCCCGTGTGTGCCCCAACTGTTGATCAAACTCAAACCCAAACCCGCAACCTAGGTCTGTGCCCTGACTGGGAATCGAACCTGCAACCTCTCAGTGTACAGGACGACGCTCCAACCAACTGAGCCACCGGGCCAGGGCCAGGGCCAGTCCACTTTTGAAGCCTTGTCCTGGCTGGTCCCTGGTCTCCCTCCAGCATTTGTCTTCAGTGCTGCCCCTTGAGCTGGCATCCGCCTGGCGCAACGCCACATGGATGGAGCTGTAAGTGTGGGCGCTGCGGGCCTGGTGTTGACAGCGGACCTGCCCTTCTCCCTCACCGCACAGCCCCAGCGAGCTCCCGCCTCTGCCAGGCCCGCGCTCCTGTTGGCGAGATGGGAATAGCAGCAGGGACCGACTGGCGGGGTTCTGAGAGGAGGCCGTGAAGTTACGGAGCTGAAGTCCGGCGGCCGCCTGGCAGGTGCGGCTGCATCCCCAGGGAAGGGGAGCAGCTCCTGTTCTTGGTGGAAGTGTCCGGCCCGCCCTGCCTGGGAGGGTTATCTGCATTCGTTTGCTAGATGCTGTCGGAGTTTGGCTGTATGCAGCCCCTCTGGGCGGTCCCGAGACCGCCAGGCCAAGGGAGGAAATGGTGCAGACCCACCACTGCCCTGGGAGAGAAGATAAAGGTGATTGGAGGTCACCTCAGGGGTTCTCCTTCATTTAGCCCACTTTTCTTCCCTCCTTCTTTCTTTCCTTTCCTTCCTAAATATGTTTATTAATTTTGTAGAGACAGAAAAAAGGGGGGGGGGAGAGGCATTGATAGGTTGCCTCCCATACGTGCCCCAACCAGGGATCAAACCTGCAACCTAGGTATGTGCCCTGACTGGGAATTGAACCTGCAGCCTTGTGTACGGGACGATGCTCCAGCAGGCTGAGCCACCTGGCCACGGCTGCCGCACTTTTCAAGTGCTCCTGGTTCAGCTCTTTTAAAGCCCCCTTTTGCCCGGAGAACCTCCTCTGCCTGGGGCTGGACCACTCCCCCTCCTCCCTGTCCCTCGCTGGCTCCGCTCTGCCCTCTGTGTAACCTGCATTCAGCTGGGTGTTGAGATGCGGGTGTGTCAGCCCAACAAAGCTCTAAGCTTGCACAACTTTTGGGGCACATCTGGCTACACCGGCTTGTGCATCCTCCGGACTAGAGAGACAGAGGGTGGCATAGGGCTTGGAGAGAGGGCTGGACTTGGGTCAGGTTGCCTATCACTCCTTCTATGTCCCCCCTTTTTTTAAAGATTTTCTTTTTTTTAATCTTTGGAGAGAGGGGAAGAGAATGAGAAAGCGACGGGGAGACGCATGTGCAAGATTGATCTGTTGCCTGTCACGCCCCTAGCTGGGGACCTGGCCCACAACCCAGGCCTGTGCCCTGATGGGGAATTGAACTAACGACCTTCCAGTTCGCAGATGGGCGCTCAGTCCACGGAGCCGCACCAGCCAGGGCTCCACGTCCCCTTCCTAGAGCCTGTGGTCCCCTCGCCGGCAGGCACTCAGGACCGGTGGAGAGGGCTCTGAGATGGCCCTCCCTGGGGGCCAGGGGGCGAGAGAAGCGAGCAGAACGTGAGATTCCCGCATTGCGGGTCGGCCCATCCTCAGCGACCCCTCCCGCCGCCCCAGCGAGCCCTCCCGGCCTCCCAGC